GTCTATCAGGGTGAGAGTGCCAAGGTCTACAGGGGACAGGGTGCTGTCCTACAGAGGACAATGTGCAGGGATTGTAGGGGACACTATGCGATGTCTACAGGGGACAGTATGCTTTAACTACAGTAAAGGAGATAGTATCTATGTATCTATGTGGGGAGAATATCCCCTATCTATAGGGGAGAGAGTGCAACGTCTATGGGTAGACATTCCTAGTGTCTACAAGTACAGTATCTCCAGGGACATCGTGTATTACAGGGTCAGCACCTCAATCTGCCATCCTGGGCGGCCGCTCCCCCTGGGATGATCTTGGTAATGAAGATGCTGGGGTCATCGCCGACATGGGGGTTGTCTGTGCCCCCTGCAATGCTGAACCCCAAACCAGAATTACCCTGCGGGACAGACACAGATACAGCAAGTCAGAGGACAGACACAAGGTCAGGCTACGATCCTGAGACCCTTTAAAGTTAATTTCTTTAAGTCGACCACGACACCTGCCAAGGGCTTCCTCAGTCTGACCGGAGGCTGAGGCCATCGGATCTGCCCAGTGCTGACTAATTAGCTGTGCCTGTTGTGTGTTTGTGCCGGGTGATGGCACAATCAAAGCTGCGTCAAGCTGCTCGATTTAGTCCCTGTGGGAGAAGTGCGTCCTCTCAGCCTTTGAAAAGAAGGGGCAGCCCCATGTCTCCCACACTGTTTGTGTTTATCCAACAGTATTGAATTTGCATCGCAGGTGTGCTATTAGGTTTAATGGGGGGTGAAGGATCTGAAAGGCTAAGCGCTCACAGTTGAAGTTTAAACATGCACATTAACATAAACCCTGCTGATTTAAAGGCAGGTGTTATATTATAGCATTATGCGCGCAGCAAAAATATAAAAGTAAAACAATTCCGAGTGTGGTTCTAATAATCCCTGATGATTATGAATGAAATAATTAAGCAAGAGTCCCCTGAGAGGCTGTAGCAGTAAAGAAGTTTGTTCAAGAAGTGCAGGCTGAGGTATGTGGCCCCGGCCAGCAGGTGGCACTGGCAGGGCAGAGCTGGGACTACTTTGGCAGGGCTCTCTTTCCTGCTGCAATAGTGACTTCTGTGACTTGATGGGCTTCTGCAGGCTTGCACTGATGTCAGCGAGAGATGTACTGCTCCTCCGGTCAGCACTCACTCTCCTGTCGGGCTCTGTGCAGAGTCCCAGGGTGAGTGATCTGACAGGGGGTGTCAGAGGAGGGTGTGCACAGTCCTCACTCTCCTGTCGGGCTCTGTGCAGTCCCAGGGTGAGTAATCTGACAGGGGGTGTCAGAGGAGGGTGTGCACAGTTCTCACTCTCCTGTCAGGCTCTGTGCAGAGTCCCAGGGTGAGTGATCTGACAGGGGGTGGAGAACAAGCCTCACCCTTTCCAGCGTGATCTCCTCATACTCCACCTCTCCATCTGTCCCGTTCACCTGAGAGAGAGGGAAGACACAGACAGAGACAGGTTAACATTCGTGACAACTGAAATAATGAGGAACAAAACCAGGGTGGTGAGCCCACACACTAGCAGACCCGACAGCACGAAGGACAGTGAGCCAGACTGCGGGACAATCTCACAAAAACAGCTTCAAAAGGCAGGCCTCTTGCTGCACAGATTCCCAACGTCCACCAGTACGATCCACTCCAGGTATTACAGTGTGGCCAGTCAGACTCCCAGTGCACACCAGTACGATCCACTCCAGGTATTACAGTGTGGCCAGTCAGACTCCCAGTGCACACCAGTACGATCCACTCCAGGTATTACAGTGTGGCCAGTCAGATTCCCAGTGCACACCAGTATGATCCACACCAGTATGGTTGTGCAGATGGTGACCAAAGACAACAGAAGATGGTAACAGGAGACACAGCAAGAATGTGGAGCGACATGGTCTGATTGTCCACTAAATCCAGGGCAAGGTCTGGACCCAAGGAGATGTGAAGTGTTCAGTGGTGACCTCTTGATAGCGGCGCTGTGAGGGGTCAGGGGTCAGGGGTCAGGGACAAGGCAGAGGGCGCGGGAAGATAGACAGGAAAGGTTAGCACGAGGGTCGGAGCTGGGCTCAGGGATAATTCGGAGGATTAAGTGTAAGCCTAAGTGATGTAAGGATGAGTGTCACGACTGGAGTGAAGATCAAGATTCAGGGTTTGGACTGAAGGATCACATGTAGTGTTGGGGTTAAGGCCAGGTTGGTATGGGCTGACAATCCTGCTAGCTGTCCCCATGCGGACAGGGAAGGATTGAACAGGATGCTTGAGCACGGTACAGAACAGCCGACTCTCTTTCCTGCGTTTCTCCCATCCTCCAGTGGCTGTGACTCGGGAAACTGTCAGGAAGTCACACTGGCACACTGAGTTCTCAGCTCCATGCATGCGCCTCATCTAAACAAGGGGTCCCGCACCCTGACCCTGGGGACCCCACACCTGCTGGGATTGCGTCCAGGCATTTACTCAAACCTTTTCCTGGTCTAATAACAGGATTCATACAGCACTTTAATTATTTTCAGTACCCATACATACTGGAGGTTTGCATTGGAATGATTCCATTTCATTAGTCAGTAGACAGGTGGACATTAAAGGCTCTATCAAGCAGCTTTGTTCAGTTCATTTAATTAAGGTTCGAATTAAACAGCCCGTCTGAAAACCTGAGAACCTGTTTGAAAACACAGCTGGGTTCAGGGTGGACAGCAAGCTGTGATGTGTTAGCTGGGCCAAGTGAATGTCTGGACAGACATACAAGTGGACAGAGAGACAGAGAGACAGAGAGAAAGAGAGAAAGAGAGAAAGAGAGAAAGAGATAGGGGCGATGTGTTAGCTGGGCTAGGTGAATGTCTGGACAGACAGACAAGTGGACAGAGAGACAGAGACACAGAGAGACAGAGAGACAGAGACACAGAGATGGGGTGATTTGTTAGCTGGGCCAGGTGAATGTCTGGACAGACAGACAAGTGGACAGAGAGACAGTCACAGAGATAGGGGCGATGTGTTAGCTGGGCCAGGTGAATGTCTGGACAGACAGACAAGTGGACAGAGACACAGAGAGACAGAGACACAGAGATAGGGGCGATGTGTTAGCTGTGCCAGGTGAATATCTGGACAGACAGGTGGACAGAGACACAGAGAGACAAAGAGACAGAGACACAGAGAGACAGAGAGACAGAGAGACGGAGACACAGAGATAGGGGTGATGTGTTAGCTGGGCCAGGTGTATGTCTGGACAGACAGGTGGACAGAGAGACAGAGAGACAGAGAGACAGAGAGACAGAGATAGGGGCGATGTGTTAGCTGGGGCAGGTGAATGTCTGGACAGACAGGTGGACAGAGAGACAGAGAGACAGAGAGACAGAGATAGGGGCGATGTGTTAGCTGGGCCAGGTGAATGTCTGGACAGACACACAAGTGGACAGAGAGACAGAGAGATAGAGATGGGGCGATGTGTTAGCTGGGCCAGGTGAATGTCTGGACAGACACACAAGTGGACAGAGACACAGAGACAGAGACACAGAGATAGGGGTGATGTGTTAGCTGGGCCAGGTGAATGTCTGGACAGACAGGTGGACAGAGGGGAAGGGGGAAAACGAGAGAAGAGAAATATATTCCTTACATAAGGCGAGCCATCGATAGTGTCTGTGTTTACAACCACGGGAGGAGAGTTGGCCTACAGAGAAAGATACAATACAGTACAGAAAATCAATCAGTCAACCGATCAAGAAAGCCTGTCCTTGAAGTACAAGACCAGCAGTAACGTCTTTCTGTTGTGTGTTAAGCGAGGACAGTCTCTCTCATCCAAACTCCAGCCTTTCACAAGAGCATCAGTGTCTGGCCCTGCATGATGCACGCACGGAAACACACACACAGCTTGAACTGTACCACACAACAGTGCAACAGTGTTAATGTCACCTGCCTATTGTGCCTGGTATTGTGTTACCCTGTGAGTGACCTTTACTATTTAGGAGTAATAATCCACAGAACCCAGAGGCGAGAAACTGTAAAGATCCAAACCTTGGATTTTAACAATTGGGAATATTTCCTCAGATTGCACTTTTTTAAAGAAGAAACTCTCCTTGCCTGTCTCTCTCACCAAACTGTCCAAGT